TAGTAGTGGTAGTAGTGGTAGTAGTAGTAGTAGTCGTCGTAGTCGTCGTAGTCGTAGTAGTCGTCGTCGTCGTAGTGGTAGTAGTAGTAGTAGTAGTAATGGTAGTGGTAGTGGTATTGGTATTGGTAGTAGTAGTAATAGTAGTAGTAGTAATAATAGTAGTAGTAGTAGCAGCAGTAGTAGTAGGCAGTCGTCGTCGTGGTAGTCGTAGTAGTCGTAGTAGTAGTCGTAGTAGAGTAGTAGTCGTAGTAGTCGTAGTAGTTGTAGTAGTCGTAGTAGTCGTAGTAGTCGTAGTAGTCGTCGTAGTAGTAGTAGTAGTAGCAGTAGTAGTAGTAGCAGTAGTATGTAGTAGTCGTAGCAGTAGTCGTAGGAGTAGTCGTAGTAGTAGTCGTCGTAGTCGTAGTCGTAGCCGTAGTCGTAGTCGTAGTCATCGTCGTCGTAGTAGTAGCAGTAGCAGTAGCAGTAGCAGTAGCAGCAGCAGCAGCAGCAGCAGCAGTAGCAGTAGCAGTAGCAGTAGCAGTAGCAGTAGCAGTAGCAGGAGTAGGAGTAGGAGTAGGAGTAGGAGTAGGAGTAGGAGTAGTAGTAGTAGTAGTAGTAGTCGTCGTAGGAAGTTTAGAAGTGAAACTTCCGACAATATGGACAGTTGAAAAGCAGAGGTGAGACGAGTCAGAAGAGACAAGATCAGAAGAAAGAAGATGCAGATGCGCAAAAAGATAGGAAAGTCGCGATTCACTGTGTTTTTCGAATGTTCGTGGCTCCGGAGGGTCGAAAAGTAGGCTCGCTAAAGCGGCGAGTGCGGAGCCATCTGGCCAGATGAGAGATGAAAAATTGCACGCCGTTGTGGCGCGAAGCACATTTCCAAGTCAAAATGGACAAAACACTAGAGGAGCGGACCACTTTTGGAAGTTGAGATGTCGAAAAAGTGCACGCCGTTGTGGCGCGAAGCACATTTCCAAGTCAAAATGTACAAAACACACCAGGTTCGGACACTTTTGGAAGTTGAGATGTCGAAAAAGTGCACGCCGTTGTGGCGCGAAGCACATTTCCAAGTCAAAATGTACAAAACACACCAATGTCGGACCACTTTTGGAAGTTGAGATGTCGAAAAAGTGCACGCCGTTGTGGTGCGAAGCACATTTCCAAGTCAAAATGTTAAAAACACTAGGGGTTCGGACCACTTTTGGAGGTTCAGATGTCGAAAAAGTGTCGAAAAAGTGCACGCCGTTGTGGCGCGAAGCACATTTCGAAGTCAAAAGTGTAAAAAAAACTGAGGGTTTTGAGCCTTTTTTGACGTGAAGATGTCGAAAAAGTAGACACTGATTAACTTAACTAACTTGACTAACTTAACTAACTTCACTAACTTAACTACCCTAACTTCGACGACAACAGCAACAACAACAACAACAGCAGCAGCAACAGCAACAGCAACAACTACAACTACAACTACAACTACAACTACAGCAACAACTACAACTACAACAACAACAACAATAACTACTACAACAACAACTACTACTACTACTTCAACTACAACTACAACTACAACTACAACTGAAACTGCAACTGCAACTGCAACTACAACTACAACCACACAACAACTACAACTAGAACTACAACTACAACAACAAAACAACTACAGCTACAACCATATGACTGCAACTACACTACACTAATTACATTACACCACAACTACAACTCCACTACGCTACAGCTACAACTACAGTTACAGTTGCAGTACATCACACTACATCCAGCAGTTGTGGGTGAGGTGACCACTGCAACCATTGCAACCATTCCAGCAAACACAACTCCAACCACCTTTCGGTCAATCAGTGGATTCGCTCTGCCATCCGTGATTCACAACAACCAAGGTCTCCTATAGGTTTCCTATTCTGAAACTTCCGCCACCGCCTTGTGCGGTACTACTGGTAATAATAGTAGTAGTAGTAGTAGTGGTAGTGGTAGTGGTAGTGGTAGTGGGAGCGGTATTGGGAGCGGTAGTGGTAGTGGTGGTAGTGGTGGTAGTGGTGGTAGTGGTGGTAGTGGTGGTAGTGGTGGTAGTGGTGGTAGTGGTGGTAGTGGTGGTAGTGGTGGTAGTGGTGGTAGTGGTGGTAGTAGTAGTGGTAGTGGTAGTGGTAGTGGTAGTGGTAGTAGTAGTGGTAGTAGTAGTGGTAGTAGTAGTGGTAGTAGTAGTGGTAGTAGTAGTAGTAGCAGTAGGAGTAGTAGTAGGACTAGTAGTAGGAGTAGGAGTAGGAGTAGGAGTAGGAATCCGAGGAGGAGTAGCAGCAGCAGGAGCAGCAGCTGCTGCTGCTGCTGTTGTTGTTGCTGTTGTTGCTTTTGTTGCTGCTATTGCAGTTGCAGTTGCAGTTGCTGTTGTTCTTGTTCTTGTTCTGGTTCTGGTTCTTGTTGTTCTTCTTCTTCTTCTTGTTGTTGTTGTTGCTGTTGTTGTTGTAGTAAATAATGTAGTGTAGTTGCAGTTGCCCATCTGTCTATTTAAATATCTGATTCCCTATCTAACTGTCTATTTACATATCTGATGATCTATCTGTCTATCGGTTTATCTCTCGATCTGCCTGTCTGTCTATCTAGCCATCTTTTTGTCTATCCATCCATCCATCTATCTATCTATCTACCTACCTGTCAGTCTGCAAGCTTGAAAACGAAGCAAGTCTGCGAGACTTCCTCAACGTTTTAATTTCACAACATCAAATTCTCCGAGATGTCCTCAATGTTCTAACTGGACAACGTCGAAAATGAAGCACTTCTGCGAGACTTCCTCAATGTTTGAAGTTGGCAACATCAAAAACGAAGCAATTCTGCGAGACTTCCTTCTAAAATAGAAAGTTGAGTGCAGAGCTGACGGCCTCGTGCCAATGCGTTATGCACTCCATCTGTCTAAAGTCCTGAGCCTGCCACGAAAAAGTGGTGCCAGGTCATACGAAGTGCTGCAAGATCTGATGCTCCAAAATGCAACTGCCCCCTCAGGAAATCAGTGCCCAATATCTCTGATGAGCATGTCTCTTGTACTGCGCCTGCCACGCGAAATGCATCTTTCCAGATCCTCTTCGAATGCCCCAAGCCTGCCATTGTTTTTGGAAATGCCAGAAAAACCCTCACCTTTTGCTCACTTTTGACAATGTATAGAATCCCTTGCGCCGGCCACACGAAACGGTATCCGAACGTCCAAACGTGGTCCGAGACCATCAGTTTTTAACACTTTTGACTTCGAAATGCGCTTCGCGCCACAACGGCGACATGACAACGTCCAAAAGTGCTCCGACCCTGGTGTGCTTTGTGCATTTTGACTTGGACATGTGCTTCGCGCCACAACGGCGTGCAATTTTTCATCTCTCATCTGGCCAGATGGCTCCGCACTCGCCGCTTTAGCGAGCCTACTTTTCGACCCTCCGGAGCCACGAACATTCGAAAAACACAGTGTTTCGCGACTTTGCTACCTTTTCGCGGGCGCACCTGCATCTTCTTTCTTCTCACTCTTTCTCTTCTCTGATCTTCTCTCTTCTGCTCTTCTCTTCTCTGACTCTTCGCACCTCTGCTTTTCCATCTGTACATATTGTCGGAAGTTTGACTCCTAAACTTCCTTGGGTGAATATGGGGCAGACTCTTTTCTTTCTATCTTTGGAGCATGCTGATTCCAATGGGACGCCTTTCTCAAGCTAAGACAGTGAAAAGTTCCAGTTGCACCTGGACAAGCCGAGTCCGCCAACACGTATAGTTGTATCTGCTAAACATGAGTTTCCCCCAGTGGCTACAGCCCGAGTTTCAAACCTGCAGAGGGCCCTTCGTCGCAACACTGCTGTTTGCACCCTGCCCAAATTGGCCAAAATCACAGAAATTGCTGCGCAATGGAAATGTTACAGCCGTGGGCAGACTCCTACCTTCTGTGGCAAGCATTGTATGAGGTGCAACGTTGCAACCATGACAAACCCAGTCCATCTGGCTGAGTGACAAAGACTTGCGACTCTGCCACAAAAGGGCCAACCACCATCGTGTGCATCTGCCTGCGGCATTGGCAGAATCTTGCCAGGTCTCCTTCCAGCCATTCTTCAACAATTTCAAATTGAAATTTGTTGCGCTTGTCAAGTGACACCAATCAGCAGAACACAATCTGTGGGCGTGACGTCCCGAAAATATAGACAATCCCTAGAACCAGAATTCATGGTCTTGGCAACCTTTTCCTGTATGTCTCTACAAGTACCAGCTCCATTTCAAACGCGGGAAACCAATAATGCCCGTTTGGGTGCAACTTAAAACCAACAAATAGGCACACTGCCGGGCCAAACATGGCGGATAGTGGCATCAAAACAGCCCTGTAGCCGCAAAACTAATGTCAGCTGGAGATTTTGCAGCGACAAGCAAGATAAAATCACCGCATGTCCACTCAAGATTCAATCCCCTTGCGGGCAGGACTTGTCTGTCCCGGAGAAAACAAAAGCAATGCGTTCTTTCTGTTCGCGCACAAAAAACCTTGATTTGGAAGTGGGTTGGTAAGAATGATGAAGAAGAGAAGAGCTAAGTGGCATTCCACAGGCGCACACCACGCGGATACGAGGTCAAGCGGTATCTGAAGCCTCCGAGTCTTCCTGGTGCTTTGCTTCTGCCATTGCCCTGTGCCTTTCTGGCATCCTTGGCACCCCGAGATCATCAGAAACAAAAATCAAAACCACTAGGAGATAAGGGAGGATTAAAGAAACTAGAGCACAAAAAAACGTCAAGTTTATATAAGAATCATGAGAGCGAACGAAATTACACCACCATAGACCCCAAACGGTGGGTGGATTCAAGAAGCGTTTTGAGGAACAGGGTCAAACACATGAGATAGCAGGAATCGTGAAAATGTTTGCAATAAGTGCCGGACAGTGACGGAGGCCGCTTCGCTTTTAGTTTTTTTTCGGCTTCGCTTGCTTTGTCGCAACGCTAGATGTCGAAAAACGATGAATGAAACATCCGATGGAGGTGCAAGAGTACTTGGATCCAAACGCTCGGATCAAGCAGCATAGGAGTGTAAAATTGGATGTAATGAAAACATCGGAGGATGAAAGCGAAAGATGACATCATTCTCAACCCGCGCGCCCGCAGCTTCCATGCGGGCGAGTAACTCAATATTTCCAAAGCATCAACTAAAATGCAAAATGAAACCACTCGCCATAAAGGGAAACAAAAAGAGACACAAGCTGGGCGACAAGCTGGGAAGAAAGGGAGACAAGGCCTCAGGAAGGCGGGCACGCCTTTCAACAAAGGAAAGCAAGAAGGAAGACAAGCTGGGAGACAAGCGGGGAATCAAGATGGGAGACAGGCTGGAGACAATAGAGACAAGGCCTTGGGAAGGCGGACACACCATCCAACAAAGGGAAACAAGAAAGGAGAGAAACTGAGAGCAAGCGGGGAGACAAGCTGAGAGACAAGCTGGGAAAAAGTTGGGAAACAAAGGAGACAAGGCCTCGGAAAAAACACACCGTCCAACAGAAGGAAACAAAAAGACGCACAATGGGAGACAAGGGGGAAGGCAGACACACATCCAACAGACAGAAACAAGAAGGAAGACAAGGTGGGAGACAAGATCTGGGAGACAAGATCTGGGAGACAAGCTGGCAAGGCCTCGGGAAGGCGGACACACACACACACACACACACACCAAAGGGAAACAAGAAGGAAGGCAAGCTGGGAGACAAGGTGGGCGACAAGGCGAAGGCGGACACACCATCCAACAAAGGCACGCGAAACAAGATGGGAGACAAGGGAGGCAAGGCCTCGGGAAGGCGGACGCACTATCCAACAAAGGTGAAGGCGGACGCACCGTCCAAGGGAAGCAAGAAGGGAGACAAGCTGGGAGACAGGACAAGGGGAGACAAGCAGGTGGGAGACAGGCTGGGAGACGAGATGGGAGACAAGGCGGCCGACACACTGAAGGGAAACAAGAAGAGAGACAAGCTGAGAGACAAGATGGGAGACAAGCTGGAAGACAAGGGAGACAAGGCCTCGGGGAGGCGGAGACACAATCCAACAGAGGGAAACAAGAAGGTTAAAAGGAAGACAAGCTGGCAAGGAGACAAGATGGGAGACAAGCTTGGAAACAAGCTAGGAGATAAGCCGGGAGACAAGGGAGACAAACAAGGGAGACAAGGCCAACAAAGGCGGAAATGTGGGGGAGACAAGCGAAAGCAAGACCTCGGGAAGGCCGACGCACCTTCCAACGAAGGGAAACAAGAAGGAAGCCGGGAGACAAGCCAGAGACAAGATGGGAGACAAGCTGGGAGACAAGGCTAGATAGGAGACAAGCTGGGAGACAAGCCAGGAGACAAGCTTGGACAAGGTGGGAGAAAAGGGAGAGATGGTGCCATCCAACAAAGGGAAAGATGAAGAAGGACAAGTTGGGAGACAAGCTGGGAGACAAGCTGGGGGACAAGCTGGGAGACAAGCGGGGGCAAGCTCCGAGACAAGCTCGGAGACAAGCTGGGAGACAAGCTGGTAGACAAGGAAGGCAAGGCCCCGGACACACCATCCAACAAAGGCACACGTGTGGGGAGACAATGGGGGACGAGGAGCGACAAGACCTCGGGAGGGCGGGCACAACATCCTTAAGAAAGCATTCTATGAAGAACCCGTAACAAGACACTGTAATTGGGGCGCAATTGGAGATAAGGGGAGGCAAGACCTGGAGAAGGCGGGCACACCATCCAACAGGTACACATGTGGGGAGGCACAATGGGAGACAATGGGAAACAGGGCGAGACAAAGGGAGAGACAAGGGGAGACAAGACCTTGGGAAGGCGGACGCACCATCCAACACAGGCACACATGTGGGAAGACAATGGGAGAGAAGCTGGGAGACAAGGAGAGACAAGGCCTCGGGAAGGCAGACACACATTTCAGCACAGGCACATGGGGAGACAAGGGGAGACAAGACCATCGGGAAGGTGGGGGCACCATACAATGGGAGCCAAAGGGAGACAAGACATGACAAGTCCCTCGGGAAGGTGGACACACCATCCAACAAAGGGAAGCAACAAGGGGTGCAATGGGAGACAAAGGGAGACAAGACCATCGGGAAGGTGGGCGCACCATACAATGGGAGCCAAAGGGAGACAAGACATGACAAGTCCCTCGGGAAGGTGGACACACCATCCAACAAAGGGAAGCAACAAGGGGTGCAATGGGAGACAAAGGGAGACAAGACCATCGGGAAGGTGGGCGCACCATACAATGGGAGCCAAAGGGAGACAAGACATGACAAGTCCCTCGGGAAGGTGGACACACCATCCAACAAAGGGAAGCAACAAGGGGTGCAATGGGAGACAAAGGGAGACAAGACCCTCGGGAAGGCGGGCACACCATCCAACAAAGGGAAACAAGAAGGGGTCCAATGGGAGCCAAAGGAAGACAAAACATGACAAGACCCTCGGGAAGGTGGACACACCATCCAACAAAGGGAAGCAAGAAGGGGTACAATGGGAAACAAAGGGAGACAAGACCCTCGGGAAGGAGGGCACGCCATCCAACAAAGGGAAACAAGAAGGGGTACAATGGGAGACAAAGGAGACAAGACCCTCCGGAAGGCGAGCTCACCATCCAACAAAGGGAAACAATAAAAGGGGTACAATGGGAGATAAAGGGAGACAAGACCCTTGCTAAGGCGGACACACCATCCATCGAAGGGAAACAAAAAAAAGGGGTACAATGGGAGCCAAAGGGAGACAAGACCCTCGGGAAGGCGGACACACAAGAAGGGGCACAATGGGAGACAAAGGGAGACAAGACCCTCGGGAAGGCGGACACACCATCCACCAAAGGGAAACAAGAAGAGGTACAATGAGAGACAAAGGAGACAAGACCCTCGGGAAGGCGAGCTCACCATCCAACACAGGGAAACAAGAAGGGGTACAATGGGAGACAAAGGGAGACAAGACCCTCGCTAAGGCGGACACAACATCCAACAAAGGTAAAAAACAAGAAAGGGGGAACTGGGAGATAAAGGGAGACAAGACCCTTGCCAAGGCGGACACACCATCCACCAAAGGGAAACAAGAAGAGGTACAATACCCTCGGAAAGGCGAGCTCACCATCCAACACAGGGAAACATGAAGGGGTACAATGGGAGACAAAGGGAGACAAGACCCTCGGGAAAGCGAGCTCACCATGCAACACAGGGAAACAAGAAAAGGGGTACAATGGGAGACAGAGGGAGACAAGACTCGCGGGAAGGCGGACACACCATCCAACAAAGGGAAACAAAAAGGGGTACAATGGGAGACAAAGAAGACAAGCGACCCTCTGCAAGGCGGACGCACCATCCATCAAAAGGAAACAAGGAAAAAGGGGGTACAATGGGAGACAAAGGGAGACAAGACCCTCGCTAAGGCGGACACACCATCCAACAAAGGGAAAGAAGAAAAAGGGGTACAATGGGAGACGAACAAGGGAAGGCGGACGCACCATCCAGCAAAGGGAAACAAGAAAAGGGGTACAATGGGAGACAAAGGGAGACAAGACCCTCGGGAAGGCGGGCACACCATCCAACAGAGGGATACAAGAAGGGGTACAATGGGAGACAAAGGGAGACAAGATTGTCGGGAAGGCGGGCACACCATCCAACAAAGGGAAGCACCATTCTGCAAAGGGAAACAAGAAGGAGTACAATGGGAGAGAAAGGGAGACAAGACCCTCGGGAAGGCGGACACACCATCCAATACCAAGGCGGGCGCCTTAAGAAAGCATTGAGAACCCCTAACAGCACACTGTTTGGGGAATTTATGGTAAAACACAGCATGACGAGCATGGTGACCACATAGAGTATATATATATAAAATATAAAATACCATGCGAAACTTCTTTTTGCTTATTATCTCGTGATGCTTTTTTATTGCTTTCTTGCGGTTGTTCATTCCAACATCTCGATGTCTACGTGCTGATATCTATATACTTTTCAGGCTAAAGACATCGGTCCCGCGGAGACGAACAATGTTTGATAAAGTCCAAATCCGGAAAAAATGTTTTTTGTACTTTGTTCGGCGGCGTATTTTTTGCTCTTTGGAGCGTTCATGCATACATGGAATCAAGCATTGCTTGGCGGACATACTTTGAATATATCCGTAGAAGGTCAGCAGTCCTTGATCATTTTAATTTGTGTAATCTCAGTCAACTGAGAGACAAGGAGTGGTCACTAGGACTCGTACCTTTATCTGTCTGTCTGTCTGTCTGCCTGCCTGCTCCGGAGCCACAAATCATTGGAAAAACGCAGCGTTTCGCGACTTTCCTACCTTTTCGCGAACATGGATCTTCTTTCTTCGGAGACTTTCTCTTTTTGATTTTCTTTCTTATTCTCTTCTCTTCTCTGACTCTTCCCATCTCCGCTTTTCATCTATCCATATTGTCGGAAGTTTGACTTCTAAACTTCCTTCGACCATATTTTTTGCTCCGAGCATCTCGAAAAAACGTGAAAACATCAAACGAATAAGAAACAAGCCGTGTAGTCAAATGGTTGCAAGATGTTGCAAGATGCACCGAAGCAACGCCACCAATCACACTAACACCATAACAACACCAAGACCAACAAGAGCAAAAAGAGCAAGAAGAGCAAGAACAGCAAGAAGAACAAGAAGAACAAGAAGAACAAGAAGAACAAGAACACCAACACCAACAACAGCAGAGCAAGCGGGCGACATTCTGGGCAACACCAACAACCCTTGGGGCATCGCCGGTGTGCGAAGCCCTACAATTATATAATTATATATATATACACTTCAAGTGTATATACGACCTATGGCTTCCATATCCTTCAAAAAAAAGTTGGTTGCGGGACAAAAACCAAGTTTTTGATCAGGAAAAAATGGGTTTTGGCACCGAACACTTGCTATTGGAGGAACACCTGGTTTTGCTAACCCGTCGAAAACCCCTAAATATCCCGTAAAAATGCGTAAATATCCTGTGAAAACCCGGCAACAACCCAGCGTCAAAAGCCGCCGACGATGCAGCCAAAGGAAAACCGGGCTTTCACTCTGAAAAATTGGATATATATTTTGCAACACCTTCTTTTTCATGGAAGCTCAAGGCATATACTGTATATATATATAATTTAATTATATATATATATATATGTATAATATGTATAATTAGATATAATTAGTATTGTAACGAATTATGTCAATACATACGCACGGTCTAAAACCGTAGTTACACACAGGCTCGATTTGTGCTTGGATCGGCGCCCAAAAAATGCTTGACGTAGCCAATGCCGACCCATTTCCACTCAGTCACCACCCGGGTTAGGGTTTAGGGTTCAGGGCTCTCACTATGAAAAAAACAATTGAACATCATGTGCTGAGATCCTGGCATGTTCGGTCTAGGCAAGCCGAAAAGGAAGTTTTGCATTGCTTCCAAAACGCGATCTGCGGCCCAAAGCAAAAGAGAACCGCGTTTGTCGCATCCCCAAGTCGGCTCTGGATGCATCGCGCCTCTTGGGGGCTCATTAGCAGTTGTGACCTGGACACAGGCTGGACAGAGCTGAGCAGGAGCCGGGCAGAGCCGGGTGAAGCCTGGGCCAAAGTCTTCTTGTTTTGAAGATATGACCTCAGCTCACTCAGCTCGCTCATTTCATTCAACTCACTCAGCTCACCAGTACCTACCGAGCACCTAAAATTAGTCGAGCTGCCATCGCTCCTGCAAGCTCCCTGGAGAGAAGCGTTCTAGAGCTGCGTGTATCTGGAGCAATGGTGTAAGCATTGTTTTAAAACCAGCACTACCAGCACTGCCAGCACCACTGCCGGGACTGCCAGCTTGCCAGAACATATAAGAAAATTAAGAAAGTAGTAGAATTCATTAGCCGTCGTTCAGAAGTCGCCTTCTTGGGCCAACCATCTGCAAGAGGTCAACCGAGCTGAAATCGCATACAAAAAGTGTGGACATGCCAGCAGAATCTAGCAGAATCTTGTATGAACTGAATTTGCCGGGGCTTTGACTAGAAGCTATTTCTCCTTGACAATCTAGAGAAAGGCAATCATGCCCGACTGAATACAGTTGCTCCAGCTTGAGATGCCGAACAGCGAAGAAATAGATTGAAGCAATCATGGGAGTCTTGTTCCTCCAAAAAAGGGGTCTTGTTCCTTCAAAAAAGCGCCCTCCCAAGCTTAGCAAAGGGTCAGCACATGATTCCATGCTGGTCAACGGACTGATCCAAGATGACCAATGCTGCAGAAGGAATAGGGGCAAAACAAAAACCATCAAGGATCGCTCAGAATATTTAAAATGAAAGCTTCATTGTCGATCCTGATCCTGCGTTGGCTCCAATGTTTCCTTGGCAACCACATCTGGGACTTAACCGCAGAGACCGCTTTCCTTCATAAACACACCCTAGGCAGTGGTTTGAATGCTTCCTGCCAAGCTTCAAAGAACTGACATGAGATCCAAGCCCAGTCAACTTGGGATTCCTCATCCCGAGCCTTGCAACAGCGACGAGACACGTCGAGCTAAGTCTGAGTGTAACTCATCGGTTCATCGCGTTTCTCGGTTGAACTTTCATGGGACCTCGTGTCTTGACTCAAAGCCACCCGAGGAAAACAGTGAGCTCAAGCAGCATAACCAATTCACCAATCCCATGAAGCCCTTCCCAACCCCCTCGTAACAATCGCATACAATCGTAACATACCCCAACCGAAGCATCTCTGTTTTCTAGGCTGTTAGGACTGAGAACGTTGCTTCTTCCACCAACGCCTCCTGAAGCTTTTGAACAATGCTAGTCCCAGCGCGGCACGTAGAAAGAATCCAGCAGTTGAACTCGATACTATGATACTATGCTGCATTGACTTGAATACCAGGCACTCTGAAAGTGCCGCTAAACATGCTAAACTTAAATCTGCACAATGCCGCGAAATACTTGCCCATCCGAGGTTCCAAATAGTCATCCACCATTGGATCCCAGCCAAACTCGTCTAAGCCTGACTCGCAATCCTGAAGCAAGACCAAGCTAAGTGCTCCGATAAAAACAACCCCAGTTTTCGCACTTACTAGCTGTTCTGGCTGTTCAATGCTGTTCATGTTGTTGCCTCTTCCGCTTCTTCTTGCACAATCTCTTCGGTCTGCATCATAGCTCTTGTAGTACGCACATGGCTGTGACATTTTGCACGGGTTGGTTCCACCTTTCTCGCAATTACAATTAAACCACCCCGCCTTGAAGGGTCAAGTTTTAGGGGCAAACAAGACTATGCTTCTACTCTGGCATTTTATACCTTTATCCATACGACAGCTAATATTCTGCAGCTAATTTCTTCGGAGCCCCTTCATCTTCACTTTTATTCTAGATTCTAGATAATTAATGCCAAAACTCTATACAGCTGTTTCTTGAATGATGTCACATCTCCTTCATCATACATGTTGCGTCGCGTGTTCTAGCTCTGTGTTTGCGGACCTCTTTGTCATTGAATAGAGACTTGCTGAAACATGTTGCGGTTCAGCTTTGGTGCAACCCGCGGGCTCGCACTGGAGCAACGAAAAATGCTCTGGCATGGGACCTTTCTGTCAATATACACTTGTTTTGTGGGACTTTTTCGCGTTAAATAGGTCCAAATGAAGCAATCGATACTGGATACTGAAGGCAACACCATGACATTGATGGTGCTGCGCTGGCCTTGGGTGAGACTTTAGACCCATTTTGGGTGCACTGAGGTCTCCAGCCCACCAAACGGACTCCAAACGGCACGCTGATGCCAGAAAAAAATGCTTTCAACTTTTTCAACTAGCGTCTTTGGCCTTTCCCGACCTTCCAGAAAAGATTTCAGCAGCAGGCGGAATGTGCGGTTCGGTTCTGTGCGTCAGTTCATTTTGCGGCTTTGGAATGTTGTCCCGGTTGTCCCGAGGTGCGGACCAAGCATTTCAATGTGGCCTTAGTTTACCGGGAGCCAGGCCATGCCTGCTTTCCAGAGGAAATTTTGGACTGCCAGGGAGGATGAAACACATCTTGAGTTGACGGAGTTGACGGCATATATGCGTTGACTAAAAAGAAAGGACATTGTTCTTCCGCACATGTCTCCGGCCGGCTAGGGGTAAGTTTCCACCCAATGCCCAGCACTGTGAGGCGGATTTCAATATACTATGTTGGCATTGCCAAATATTATAGACCGACTATCAGGAAGACAAAATTGATCCAACTCCTCCGCCCAATGCACAGTTTCTATCTGTCTCTTGAGCGCGCAGCGCAACAGTCTTTGGCGCACAGCATGGGCCCTTCTCCAAAAGAGCATCCACCTCAAATTTCAACCGCTTTCAAGTCCCTAATTCAAGACATGTCAAACTTGCAGTTCAACACGGGTCATGTCTGAAGCTGTCAAGGCAAGAACTGGTTCTTTCAAGTGCTTGGCCTCAGCATCAAGCAAAGGTGCAAACCACGCAATCGTCAGCAATTTGCAAAACTTTTTTTTGGCCAGCCAAGGATGCCTGTTGCCGAGCCCTGCTGGGCTTTTGGATTCAGTGGGATGTAGCATGATGTAGCATGCATTGAATGAACCAAGGTGCAAAAAACGGATTTGACTTCAAATCTGTGGAGCTAGATCTCTCCAATGGGTCCTGCAAGCGCAGGAGACCATCACCACACACCGACCTCTGGCTCGATGCCAGAGGCCTAGACAAATCAACTCGAATCAACAAGCAAGAAAGTTTGCCAAAGCTGAAGTTCCATGAGATTCTGCAGATTGCAAAGTTGAGCCCTTGTCTGACTGTGTCAGAAACTGCATTCTTTGCTTCAGTTCCAAACACTTGGTGGTTGATTTACGGATCGAATGCAAGGAGTGAGTGCTGGGCAAGCATCTGTGATTCCAGGTAAGTGTGTCTGCCCGGAAGTAGTGGCACTTTTTACTGTGCTCTTACAGTGAAGTGTATTGAAGCGCCGGATTTCTTTAACACAATCAACCCAAGATAAATGCTTTTGCAAGTTACAAGAGTGCCTAAAGGCATGTTGAAAAACGAGACAAATATCCCCTTGTGGTGCACCAGGTGGGGTTGCACCCCTGAGAAAGGTACCCAGGCTACTGAACCCAAATTGCAAAAATGAAATCTGGGGGGTTCAACCCCACATGTTGCGCAAAGAGAAAATCATCAGTCATCCAACTGAGGGATTTGCAAAAATAAAATCAAGAGGTTCCAGAAATAAAATTAATAAGATTCCAAGTCAGCATCCACATGTTCCAGAAATAATAAAAAAGGTTCCAGGTCAGCATCTGTCTTTCTCAGTTTTCTCTCCCAATGCTGATGGCAGAGGACAGTTTGTTTTCCCTGTGTTGCTAGCATGCCAAGTTTGGTAGCAGGGTGAACTTTTCAAATCTTTCCGGTGGGTAAAATCAGAAATGAATTTAAAGGAATCCCAAGTTTGAGCCATGAAAAGGGAAACCTAAAGATGGGGTAGGAGAACTTCATTTTGAGGTGTGGGATGCTGGGGCGATTGCAGGAGACGAGAAGCTGAAAGTTGTGAAGCTGCCAATGCTGTTGGCAAAGGACAGTACTGTTTTCCCTGTGTTGGTGGCATGCCAAGTTTGGTAGCAGGGTGAACTTTTCAAATCTTTCCGGTGGATAAAACCAGAAATGAATTTAAAGGGTTCCCAAGTTTGAGCCATGAAAAGGGAAACCTAAAGATGGGGTAGAAGAACTTCATTTTGAGGTTTGTGATGCTGGGGCGATTGCAGGAGACGAGAAGCTGAAAGTTGGTGAAGCTGCCAATGCTGTTGGCAGAGGACAATTTGTTTTCCCTGTGTTGGTGGCATGTCAAGTTTGGTACTCTGATGTCAAAGTAGATGGCTCAGAATCTTGAGTTGCGCCATCTACGTCAAATGCAAAATGCGGGGGATAGATGGCTCAACTTCCATTCAAATCAGGTCAGTTGCGCCATGTATGTCCCTAAAATGACATATTTTTTTGCAACTGCTATTATTTTCATCATGTTTTGTCCAATACATGCACAAGAGATGTGTGTTCGAACAAAACAAAGGTAAGCACAACGCAAGAATAAAACCAAAGGGACCCAACCTAAAGTTACTCCACCAGCTGCATTTTGGTGAGCACTTTTCATGACCCGTGGTCCCAAAAATTAAATCATAGGGATCTGACTTATTCAAAACTTATGATAGACACCTTTTGAAAAATAAATCTAAAACTATTTCAGGGCCAAGCGCTAAGATTTTATTCTTGAGCACCGTACGGGGATGAGAAATATGCTAAAGCAAGGCGATGCTATAGTAGGACAGTAGGAAGTTTTTCTTCTTTCCGGACAAATTTGCATCGTCGACAGGGTCGGTAACCTTGAAACTGCTCCTTTGGATGAAGGACCATGCTCGGACCTTGTTCACGTTATGTCAAGCGTGTCTCGCCGCAGCGTCCTTGGGAGATGGTGTCGAATCAGTTCGAGTCTCCGAGTCGCTTTGTATATCTTTGCGTCCGCGTAAAATGCGTAAAGATGTTGCTGGTTTTGCTGGTTGCCAGTGCGCTGCATCACTCTGGCACTGAAACGGCTTCGCCATGAAGTGTCATCGGGCTGGCCGTACTGTGACTCTTGTAGTTCAGAGCGCAAATCAGGCAAGGGCTCCAGGACAGGTGGAATATCCGGAGTGTGTTTCAAACACTGTGTGTTGTAGTGTGCTGTCTGTGTGTCGCAGTACTGCAATACTTTCGGGGGATCTTTCGGGTATGTCCAGCGCTCTAGTTTGCAGAATGCTGTCTAGGGTTGCGTGGTAGCAGGCACACCTGACACCAGCATCATATATGTCGCCGGTGCCGCTGTTTGATGTGAGGATGGCCCCTATGACGCCGGTGCCATATGACATGCTGTACATGGTTTTAGGATGTCCCTAAGACGCCGGTGCCTACCAAGGCGCCGGTTGAGCCTCCCTGGTACTTACTCCTACATCAAGTTCCTCTCTCAGTCTCAGCAGTCACTGGCTCAATGAGCAATTAAACATGAATAAACCACCCGATCATCAAAAACTCAGCAATTCACGCAGGTCACCTGCGCATTCGCTAAATCACTGGCTCGATTATCGAGCACA